TTTTAAATTTTTCCATAGAGAGATGGAGTCTTTCTATGTTACCCACGGTGTTCTCAAACTTCTGGGTTCAATTCATGCTTCTGCCTCAGCCTCCTGAGTAGTTGGGACCACAAGCATGAGCCCCTGTGCCTGGCAAATCCACCAGTCTCTTCTCCAACCTTTTCTTTGGAGGGTGGTGCTGCTAGAGATCCAACCCAGGGCTTTGGTTACGCCGAGCATGTGCTTTGCCACAGAGCTACACACCCAGGCCCTGGCCCAGCCTCTGCTAACCTTTTCCTTGTTATTCCTGTTGACACCAATCCAGCGTATTTTTTAATTTCACACAGTGTAGTTTTATTTCTAGCAGTTTTATTTGTTTCCAGCATCTTTCCTGTCTTTAACTTTTTGTAATACTGTATATGTGATATAATTACACTAACTTTTTAAATGTCTTCACCCGCTATTTCTGACATGTGTGTAAGTTATGGGTCAGAGTCGACTGATTGATTTATCTACTTACTGAGAGTAACATTTTTCTGCCTTGCATTCTGGTAACTTTTTTTATTGGATTCCAGTCTTGGCAAAATTTTTGCTATATTGGTTGCTAGGTAGATGGTTTTCTATTTCTACAAATATCCCACACTCCAACCCCTATCTGTCAATATTGGGATTACATAAGAAGCTCTGAGCAACATCCCCAGCCTTTTTTATTTTTTAATTTTGATACAGGGTCTTGCTAAATTGCCCAGGTTGGCTATGAAGTTGCTCAACCTCCTAAAGTGCCTGGAACTACAGGACTATTTCTATAAATATTCTTGAGCTATGTTCTGCAATCAGTGAGTACTCTTGATCCTTTTGCATCTTATTTTAAAGATTTGTCAGGTAGGACTGGAATTGTGTTCAGCCTAAGGCTAATTATACTTTGCCAAATCTTGGGTGAATCTTGAGATTATTCATTCTGGCTTCCTGGGACACACACTGTATAGCACAGTTACTTTAATCTTGTTGAATAGTTCTTTCCCTGACCTCAGTTTCTTTTCTCATACATATGTGCAGACCAGCGCTCAGCTGAAAGTTTGAGAGACCCTGTGAGGGTGCCTGGATTTTCCTGTCTGTGAAGTTCCCTATTATCTGGATTCTGTGAGCTCACCTGTCCATTTTGGCAGCAGAGGGAGATCCATGGTAGAGAAAACACCAGCATCTTGGACATCCATAGTCTTATCTTAGCCAGTGATTATGAAAAGAGAAACAGAAAGGTTACTAAACAGAAAGAGTACTAAAGAGAAATCTGATTTCAACTTGCTGAGAGTCCCCATCTGACTTTAAGAGCAATACTTGCTTTGAAAGGCATTATGAACTGTGGGCTGTGCTAACAGTCCTGGATTTTTACCATTCAGTGAGCCCTGAGCGACTGGCAGGCATGATGTTGTTATTTAGGTAGTGCACAATTTATGTTCACTGGAGAGCAAACCTTAGCAGATATAGATTGAAACCGCACCATGAAAAAAGGCACGGGATGTATGGCTCCTAGGTAACCTGGTACCTCTAGATCCCAGCTGTGGTCCCAGATATCCGGGTAGATGTCGCCTACAGCTTTGCATGCTCCCCGCCCCTGGGATTCTGACTGGCAGTGTGGATGGTGCAGGGAGACTCTGAAGTGGACCCCGAAGGTGTTCCCGGCAGTTGACAGCTTGTTTTCTACCCACAGGTGCCTTTTTCATCCCCTACCTCATCTTTCTCTTCACCTGTGGCATTCCTCTCTTCTTCCTGGAGACGGCGCTGGGCCAGTACACAAGCCAGGGGGGCATCACAGCCTGGAGGAAGATCTGCCCCATCTTTGAGGGTGAGTAGCTTGGCAGCCGATTCCAGAGTATCTTCACGAGCGCTTATAAACCTTCTTCGGGATGCTGGAGTGGTCAGTAGCAGTTCTGAGACTAAAATAAGACTCCGAGTCTCTATAGTAAAACTTTGGTTGGTGGGCTGAATACAGAGCTAGTCAGTCTCCTTCATCAGAGGACGATGGAGAAATGGGACTATGGACGGGCTTTAGGTTGAACAAGGAGTACACACAGCTATTTCAGCTGACGTTCGCTTAAATACATTGCAGTGATTTTGTTTTTAAAGTCATTTTACCAATTATAAAACATTTAAAAATAATTGTAAATGAGAAAAAATATTCCGCTCATAGTTCTATCATCTCGACACAAGAACTTTAAAGTTTTTGGTGTTCTGTTTCGTTGTTTCTCGCTGTATAGGATTTTCTCCAAGTTTTTATTTTGAAATAACTATAGATTTCCAGAAAGTTACAAAAACAGTACAAAGAAGTCCTACATGTCCTGTATTTAGATTCTCCCAGTGATAACATTTTACATAACTAAAGTGTAACGGCAAAGTCCGGATACTGGCGTGGCTCCATCCACAGACCTCATTCAGAATTCGGCAGTTTCCCGTTCTCTCGCTCGTGCATGCCTGTGTAACCCTGAGCACAATTTATTTACTGTGAGAAATGTAGATTTGGACACTCACTGGTACTGCTCAAGGAACCTCCTGTTCCAGCACTGTGCGGGTCTCCTCCACACTACCCTTTATCATCACGCCCAACACCAGCCCTCCCATCCCTGACCTTTGGCAACCTCTGTTCTGTCGTCTATCTGTACTTTTGTCATTTTGAGAATGCCATATAAATGCACTCATGCAGAATGTAGCCACTTGTGGTTGGCTTTCTGCTCTGCATGACGTCCTTCACAGCCATCAGTCTGTTCAGTGTCTTTCGCAGAAATAACACCTCCTCGATTGTCACTGCATGCTTGTTTAACCATTCACAGCACTCGGACTGTTCCAGTTTTGGGGCTTTTCAATCTTTCTTTCTATAGACTTTGTGCTATGGGATATACACAGTTTGTGTTCTCTTTACGATTAATTTTATTTTCCATTTTGTACATAATACTGTTTGAATGATTCATAACTTTCCATCTGTGGATATATCAAAATTTACTTAATAGGCCTCTGGAGGTTTTTGATTATTTTCTCTGGCTTGTAGCTTTTTTATATTTTGCCTATATTTGTTTAGGTAGCTTCTCTACCTTTGGAATTATTTCTTTGGGATAAATTTCCAGGGTTAGGAACACTGGGTGCAAATGGATAATCAACTTGGCATCCCTTGATCTGCTTTACTGTTTGTACTAATGACACTGACAATGACAGTGACAGCAGCTGTGAGTAGCATCTTTCTCTATCTCCTGAGCAACTCTGGCTCCTTTGGAGGTCCTCACACTTTGTTCACTGAGATCACCTAAGCACCTTCCACATACTCTGTGACCCATGTTCCATCTTCAGAGGTTGTGACTGAAATGGTCTGGGGTTTAGCCTCGGTTTTGAAATACTGTAAATATTCTGGGTCATTCTGATATGTAGATAGTATGGAAATCCTTGAGTTACATTCTTTGTCAAAATTTTCAAAGTTTTTGAAAAAAACTTGGTAAAAATTTTCAAAAAAAATCTTTCACTAAGGTTGTAGCTGCAGAATGGTGCCTCATCGCTGTGTCATTTTACGCACCTGTAATTAAAGAGGATGAATATTACATGTTATTTTATTTAATTTTTTTGTTTGTTTGTTTGTTTGTTTTTCCGGTACCGGGAATCAAACTCACAATGTTGCACTTCCCAGGCAGGCGCTGTGCCACTGAGCTAAATCCCCAGCCCTTGAATATTATATTTTAAAGGTGTTCGTTCGTGATTTACATTCCCTTCTATGCAAATTATCTCTGATCTTGTGGTTTTATGTTTCAGAAATATATCAGATTAATTCTGAGGACCATTGGTGGTCAGTATCATGCAGTTAGTCTTACCCATTTATTTATTTATTTATTTAGTTAGTTTTTTTCTGGTACCGGGAATCAAACTCACAACCTCGCGCTTGCCAGGCAGGTGCTGTGCTGCTGAGCTAGATCCCCAGCCCCGGTCTTACCCATTTAAAAAATAACTCTGGATCAGTGACCTTTTAGAACCTGATAGAAATGAGACTGCATAGGAAGGGAGCCAAGGGCAACAGAGGGCAGGAGACAAGCCCCCACCAGGCCTGGGAGCAGAGGGCCAGAGCACTTTTTGCTGTAGGATGGCAAAGTGCAGCCCTCTCCTAACCAGTAGGGTCAGTGTGAGAAATCTGTGCCCTGTCCCTCGCTCAATTCTGCAGTTTCCTCCCAGGCATCGGCTATGCCTGCCAGGTGATTGTCATGCTCCTCAACATCTACTACATCATCGTCCTGGCCTGGGCCTTCTTCTACCTCTTCAGCAGCTTCACCGCGGACCTGCCCTGGGGAAGCTGCCACCACGAATGGAACACAGGTGAGGTCACGTGAGAGAGTCCACTTCCCCCTTCTGCTCTGCTGTGTAATCGGGAGTGGGATTGTCCCTCCGTCCCAAGAAACCCAGTCCCCAGGGTTAACTCATAGAAACCGGCAAGAAGATCATGGAGAACTCTCTTCAAGGAAAGCGCAAGGAGCTGTAGGGTGCTTGCCTTACGTATGTGTGAGGCTGTAGGCCTGACGCCCAGCACAGCAACAAGAAAACTAAATTCCCAGTGTCACAGGCAAAATGTCCCAGACTGCTTTCTTTAAAAAATAAATTGATGTATTCAATTCATGTGTTATGCAAATAGAACTCATTTTTTTAAAGTTGAGTTTAGCCCTTTATTTCAATTTGAAATATGACTGGTTTGATATATGTGCCTATTATTTGTTCACTGATTTGCTTCTTGTGTCTTCCTTTTGATACTATTTTAGGATTTTCAAATTTATAATTTATCGGGGCTTGACTAGGGAATGAACTGTTTTGCATGTCATCAGTATAATTTATAACAGCAGTTAACTTCTCTGCTTGTAAGACTGTGGGCCACTCACAGCTAGAGAGCCATTTAATATATTGAAGTAATGACAACAAAAATATCTAGGTCTATCCAAAGAGTTGTCTAGGACGATGACTGTGTTCTCTGTATGTCCAACACTGGCTACTGAGTAACCTGACATGTGGCTAGTCCATCCGAGGGACAGGATTTTTAAATTTTTTCTTAATTTTAATTCAAATCCCCACGTGAACTCATGACTACCCTGTAGGATAGCGTGGATGAAAAGCGCGTTGGTCACTGTTCTGTTTGTATTCTCACAGCCATATCTTGCTCTCTTTGTCCAAATATCTTTCTGTGCTTGTCCATACGATGCACTGTTTTGGAGTAGAAATAGCTAGATAAGTTACTGGGTTCTGAACTAGATTTTTGAATCCTTTACTTGCCAGGCAAACTGTGTTTGCAGGGCTTAGTCTTTGTACCTTCTGACCTGGCAAGACCCCCCCCTCCCCCTCCTTGTACAATCCCCTCCCCGTGCTGCCTGTTCCCTCTCCAGGCTGTGCTTTGCCCTTCCTGGCACCGTGCATCTCACAATCCCACGCCAGGTGAAGAGTCAAATCCAGGTGGCACCCCCACCTGCTGTACCTGACCTCAGCCTTGAAATGGTACTCGCTGAACTTTTTGTCTGTTTATTGAGTTGATTTTCCTACTAATTGGCAAGATCTTGAGGCAGAAAAGGTTCCTTATCTCCATAGCCTTTATGTCTAGCACAGTGTCAGCTATGCTCTCAAGAAACATTTACTGAAAGGTTTAAAAGTCTGTTCTATTCTAATATTTTTCATTGTTTGTTTGTTTATGTCTGGGTGCCCTGAATTACCCTTGACAACCAGCTTGCCAGGTAGTGACTATTTTATGCAGACCCCAGTAGAGTGACTTGATAAAATCTGACAGCGCTCTGAGGCCTGCATTTTGGGTTAGGGCAGGATCAGGCTTATCCGTCTTTGGGTTTGTGGGGAGTCTTTGAGACAATTCTGAGGCAAACTGCATGACTAAATCTTTTGCTTTTGTATATTTTCGGCACCTCCCAGTGGGCCTAGTTTGGCTCAGAGCCTAGCACCTGGACTACAAGAGGCCATCTTGTCCTGTCAGGATGAAATGACACTTTTCTTCCAGGAAGGTGATATGGGTTAGTGGAGAGGGCCTTCCACTGGCGTTCAACCCTTCAGTGGGTGTTTATTGAGGTCCTACACTGCCAGGCTCTGTTCTAACCACTGGGGAAATGCTAACATGCAAAACAAAGATCCCTACCCTCCTGGAACTATTATTCTAGCAGCAAAGACAGACCATGAACAAAATAAAAGAGCAATTATCCGTCACGATAGAAAGAAGTATATGTATTCTGCTAGAAGTGCTATGGAGAAAAATAAAACAAGGTAGGGCTTGGGAGTTTTCAGGGTGAGGTGTGGTTTTAAATATGGTAGTTAGGAAAGACCTTATTGAGATGACCTTGAAAAATGATTGCAGAAGGAGGGGGAACAAGAACTCAGTAAGTTGTCCAGCTACTGAGGAGATGACCGTGCTAGTAGAGGAATAGCAAGTCCTAAGGTCCTGGGGCCAGTACAGGAACAGCAGGGATGCTGGTGTGGCTAGAGAACAGCGAGGGGAAGGGAGGTCAGAGGGCTTGGAGGATGCATCACATAAGGCCTTTACGGTGGCTGAAGGAGTTATGGGATGGGAAACTCATTGGAGTGTTTGAGATGGGATGTGACGTGAAGTAATTTAAGGTTTAACAAAATCACCCTGGCTACTGAACGGAGATCTGAGAAGAGAAGAAAGGGTAGTAACTGGAAGCCAGTCAGGAACTGTGAGGGGATGGTGACCTTCACCAGAATGGTGATGGAGGTCAGAGTCCTGGTGTTTTGAGGTAGAACCTACACAGAGTGTTGACCTGAATTCCGGGTTGTTCTGTTATTTATGAACTGTGACAGGTCATTTCTAAGAAGATTCATTTTCTTCATATGTATAATGGAGAAAACAGTATCTGTCTTAAGACTTCCCAGGATTATTACGCTGATAAAATATTAAAAAAGAATGTCAGCACTCTATGTGGCCCTCCACAGTGACATATAAATAATGAAGAGCCTCCATTTATTGGGCGCTACACATTTATGTTTCCATCTGTCTTACTCTTCTTGTTGCTGAGACAAAATACCTGACACTCAAAGTTACAGGAGGAAAGGTTTCTTTCAGCTCACATTTGTAGAGGTTTCAGTCCATAATCGCTTGGCTCCAAGGCAGGATGGCATGGCAGAGGGGCATTGCAGAGGAGAAACAGCCCATGGCCAGTAGAAGACACCAAAAGCAAGCAACCAGCAAGAAGCAGTGAAAGCACACTAGCCCTCTTTCTGTCCCTTATATTTTTTTCAGCCAGGGCAGTGTGCCTTTAATCCTATCCAGAACTATGTCAAACTTATCAGTGGACTGATCTAATAATCACACACCCTTAATCTCAGCATCACACACTCTAGATCCAACCACTTCTGAAAAGCCCCCATCTATGACCACGTGAGGCTTTGGGAGGACATCTAGACACAAACTAAAATACCATCGAACTCCCTATCAATCTTATAGATAGATGGGGCTATCTACATTTTAGAGATCAGTAAAATGACAATGATGGTGTCAAGTGGTCACTTACCTAAGGCCATACGTTTGGTTCCCAGAGGGTCAGGACCTGAGCCAGAGGGCTCTGACCCTGGGCTGGAGCTCTTGGCCACTTCGTTGGAGGCATCTCACTATTGCCCAAGGCTGTGACTGCTCACAGGACAGTGTCTTGCAAAGGGTTTGCTTACTTGGAAGCAGCTGGCATGTGGAGCATCTTTCCTAGTGCTGTCTCACTACACTTCAGTAGGAATATGTATGCAAACTCAGCCCCCAGTACATCTGTGTGGGGAGGTGAGGTGGGTCTGCTGAGGCCAGCACTCATGGGAAGAGGTCTTGTACTGACACCAGCGGAGCTCCTTCTCGACGCCCCTTCTCGACGCCGCCATTCCATTCTCCCACCTCCACCCCCAGTCGAGGTGAATGTTGGCTGATGTCTTTCTCTTTCTTCTTCCCTGGGACCTGTGAGTAGAGAACTGTGTGGAGTTCCAGAAGACCAATGGCTCCCTGAATGTGACCTCTGAGAATGCCACCTCCCCCGTCATCGAGTTCTGGGAGTGAGTGAGGCCTCATTCCTTCCGAATGTGGGCCATGTGTCCCAAAGTGGGTGTGGGGTGGGCTTCCCAGGGGGCCCAGGGGAATTTCTGCTTCCTTCTGCCCCAGCCTGCACTTGAGGGTTCCGCGGTGCTGCGCATGTGGTTGGTACAGGGCTGGCTTCAGAGATGATTTTCCTCAGCGGGTGCAGCCCTCTCCTCATATCCACACTCCGGACCACCTTCCTCTCTTCTGCTCTATTGCCTCTTGCAGCCCTTCCCTTCCACATATCAAAATGTCCCAAAATCCTGGCTGGGAGAATGGGTATTTGTACCTCCTTCCCCATGTTAGACAAAGTCTCAGAGCCAATTCACCTGGGCAGCTTATGCTTGTCAACGTTTCTGTCTAACTTCATCCATGGGCAAAGGAAGCCTCACAGATCGGACAAGCCTTAGAGAAGAATAGATTGGAGGCCTTGGGCTCCAAAACTGTGGCTCAGGGCTGGAGTGTAGATCCGTGACAGAGTACTTGTCTAGCACGGGCAAGGAAGCCCTGGTGTCCATCCCAGTGCTGGAGAAAGAGGAAGGAAGGAAGGAAGGAAGGAAGGAAGGAAGGAAGGAAGGAAGGAAGGAAGGAAGGAAGGAAGGAAGGAAGGAAGGAAGGAAGGAAGGAAGACCCAAGGCTGGCAGCCAAAGTGGAGGCAGGTCTGATGCTTCTCTCCCCAGGAGGCGGGTCCTGAAGATCTCTGGTGGCATCCAGCACCTAGGGTCCCTGCGCTGGGAGCTGGTCCTGTGCCTCCTGCTCGCCTGGGTCATCTGCTACTTCTGCATCTGGAAGGGGGTCAAGTCCACAGGCAAGGTTGGTTCAGGAGAGGTTCCAGGAGTGCCTCAGTGTCGGTGCAGTGAGGGAAATGACCCTGCGAAGATCTTAGGCAGCCCCCTTCCCTGATCCCGTGCCTCTCCTGGACTCCGTCCCACATACTTCTGGGAAATAAAACGGCACAGAGGCAGGCTGGGAGGATTTGGTCTTGGAATGTACCATGCATGTGAACACTCTGCAGCTTGAGTACGCTTGGTGCCTCGCTATTTCCCAGAGCAGTTCTGTGCATAATGAGCTCCAGACACACTGTTCACCTCAGCATGACTCTTCACCAGCTCAAGAGCGTTGGGGTCTCTTTGCCTTAGAGTGTCTTAGGTGTTGGAGGGCATCTGAGCTCTTCTGGACTCAAGCCCTGCAGGCCTCTGATGAAGCTTCCATTTTAATCTGGCTGCCTGGTTGTGCTAAGCTCCTAAACTCTGTGAGGAAGAGATTATGTGTTAGAGATATTTCCATACCTGACAACCCTTGCCATAATCCCACACACTGGCTAGGAGAATGGTTAAGTTCATTTAGCCACTCAACAAATACTTACTGGATTTGTAGGGGGAGAGCTAGTGTTCTGAGCTGAAAGGAGGAGAGAGAGAGGTTATGGCCCAAGGCAGGGGAGATGGAGCGGAACAGCTGCAGGGGAGAGAGAGGAGCAGGAGAGGGTCCCCTGGCTCCCCTGCCCTTGGGTGGGGGAGTATCTGCTTTCCTGCCTGCTGTCTGCCTTGGGTTCTGGGCCCCTCCCTCTCTCACACTGCCTAACCTGCTCTTCCGGATCTCTCCCCTGCCCCTGGCCAGGTGGTGTACTTCACAGCCACGTTCCCTTATCTCATGCTGGTGGTCCTGTTAATCCGAGGGGTGACGCTGCCTGGGGCGGCCAAAGGAATTCAGTTCTACCTGTACCCGGACCTCACACGTCTGTGGGATCCCCAGGTAAGAAGGCACAGGCCAGAGCTGTCGTGGCGGCCGAAGGTGCTCGAGCTGCAGGCTTTTGCTGGGCTCCAGCGGGGAGTCCCCAGGGTGTCTGTGGTGATGGTGAGGTGCCCTTCCTCCTGCAGACATTGGTGAGCAGTGGCATATGGGTCTAAGGCGTCCGCCCCTGGGGTCTGAGGCCCTCGCAATATTTCTTAGGAACTGCAAATACGTCACGAAACACCATTACTCATAGACCGTACTTGTTTCCCCTCCACCTACCCATTTTCCTCATGTTGGAATTTTTTGCATTTCCTCCCAAGCCACCTTTCTCTCCCTTGCATACCACTCCCCGGTGCCCTCCCTCTGCCCATGTGACCCCTTCCGTGGCCCCATGTCTCCAGCCCCTCCCGGGACCAGCTGGGCTGGTGTTAAGTTTCCCATCAGTTGTCCAGAGGTGTCTCTTCTGTCACTGTACACACTCCCTCTGCCACAGCCGGCCCAGTGGGGGCAACGCTGCTTGCCGATTGGAGGGAGTGGAACACAGGCCTTGCCTCTGACAAGTGTCTCTTCTCGCCTCCGTGGCAGCCACCCTGAGAGCTGGCAAAGCTGGTGGAGCGTGGGCAAGCTCCAGCCCCAGGGCGTGTGACTTTGCCTTGTGCCCTGCTTCTGCCTGCTGGGCGCTGTGGGTCTGCGTGCAGTTCAGGTACTTCTCTGTCAGGGCAGTGCCTTCAAGCTCAGGTGGCTCCCATCCTTGGAAGACGGCCGGATGGCTTCTGCACATTTAAGATGGTCAATGACAGCCAGGTGTGGTGGTGCACACCGGTAACCCTGGCACTCTGGGAGACTGAGGCAGGAGGATTCACAAGGTGGAGCCCAGCTTAGCCAATTTAGTGACTTAGCAAGACCCCGTCTCAAAAAAAAAATAAAAAATAAAAAAGCCCTGGGGGTATAGTTCAGTGCAAAAACCCTGGGTTCAATCCCCAGTAACAAAAGAAAAAGTCACTGATGTTCTGAGAGGGAGTAGAGGCAGGGAAGGGCACATAGTTGAGTTTCCCTGAGCCCCTGGGAACTCCGTTCCCACACAGATCAAGGCTTCCCTGCGGCAGAATTTGGGCTGATCCAGACACTGAGCCAGTGTTGAGTCTCCCGGCCTCTCTAGCAGAGCTGTCTTCCGTTCTGACTTCAGGGACTGCGTGACTCCTAGCAGCCGCCAGGGCAGCCCTTTAGCAGCCTGCTCGTAGACTCAGCCATGGTCCTGGACGTTGCAGGCGATCCTCTTGTGGGCTGTGAGTTTGTCCTTCCTCACTCCCATTTCTCATGCCTCACCTCCCGCCAGGGTTGGAGGGCCCAGTCAGGCTTGGAGGCCACGGCCAGGGCCAGAGCTGCTGATGCTAACAGGACCCCAGAGATCACTTAGTGCAGCCCCCTCATTTCACAGAGGAGCAACCCCAGCACACAGCAAGGAGGTGACACAAAGTGTATTTTTCCCCTGAAAGGTTTATTTTTTTCCCCCACAAGGTGTATTTTTGCTTCTTGAATCATAAGCCTCTTGACTTATCTGGAGCCAAAAGGCTGTGCTGCATAGCAGGTAGCAAGCAGGAAGGGAAGTGAAGGGAAGGCTTTGAAGGACCAGCCAAGCACCTGGCTCAGATCTACCACGCAGGGAGGATGGCAACAGGGTGACCCAAGAGCCCTATTGAGCCCTTTAAATTCCTATGGTTTTTTGTTTTTGTTTTTTGTTTTTTGTTTTTTGTTTTTTGTTTTTTTGTCTTTTTGAGACACAGTCTCTCTATGCAGTTCAGGCTGGCCTTGAGCTCACTTTGCAGCCCAGGCTGGTCTCAAACTTGCAACAATCCTCCTGCCTCAGCCTCCAGAGTGCTGGGATTACAGGTGTGTGCCACCACACCCAGCTAAATTCCTATGTTAAGCAACTCAAACCTAGCTTTGCTTAGGGAGGAGGCAGAAACCATAACTCAGGACAAGTCTTTGTATTTTTGTGTAGTTCACTGAAACTGACGCCTCCTCATGGTCACTGAAAGACAAGTTGTGTTTTAAAATGATAGCGGTGAATTGCAGCGGGAGGAAGCTGCTGTGGTTCTGGAGTGCAGAGCTGTGAACAGCAGCTGCAGCTCCTCTCTGCTTGCAGGTAGGGCTGAGAGGAGCACGGCCCGCAAAAGGAGAGAGCAGCCCAGTAGTTACAGCTTTGCTACTGGCTGACGCGTAAGGCCCGCCTTTAGCGATAAGAGGAACTACAGCTAAAGTGACAATGTGGACGTACAGGAAAAAGCTTGAATTCGAAGGCAAGAGAAAAATGAAGAAAGGACTCCCACTTGAGTAGTACCTGGAGGGGCACATGGGGGAAGAAAATCAGATTGGGGGAGGTCAGTTCCATGGGCTGCTTGCAGAAAGCTGCACCCGGTCAGTCACCATGTCCGGCACGGGCGTGCAGCTCTGGAGGAAGCCTCAGGAACTGAGCAATGTGGTCCCCATGGAAGGGACGCTCGTGTCCGGAAGGGCAATCTCGGTCATGTGAGGCCCTGTTGGAGTGTTGGAATCCAAGGTGACCATAGGTTCAGGGCCATGGAGACTTCTAGGTAAAAGTGTCCTCAGTTTTGAAGGGTGATAAGATAAAATAGGTAAATTTAGGGCTAATAAATCTTGTTTTGCCAATTTTTAGACCTTCCATAAATGACTAACATCTTATATGCAGAGCTGGTAAGGATTTGACCCAGAGCTTCTAAAATGAAGTTCAAGCTGTGTTCTGTTTTTAGTTATCCATTGGGTATTGGTAGATCCAAGAGTCATGATTTTTACTAAAAACAAAATAAAATAGTTCTAAGTCCTGGTATATCTTTTTTCTCTTTTTTAAAAAAATTAATTAAGTCTATTGGTACATTTTAGGAGTCTCAATCTATCTTAGAAGCAAACATACATCCTTCTTTTGCCAGGCATGGTGGCACATGCCTGTAATCCCAGCACTCAGGAGGCTGAGGTAGGAGGATTGCTGTGAGTTTGAGGCCAGCCTGGGCTACAAAGTGAGTTCAAGGCCAGCATGAACTGCACCTTGTAACCCTGTCTCAAAGAGATAAGAAAAAAAAAATCCTACTTTTAATGACTGACAGGTTAAGGGCCCAGGAATCTGCCCTTTGCTCACCTAGTGCTCTCTGACTATGTCATGGCTATGTCACTTTTGTCCTGGCCATTCACAGCTAGAGCTTTCTGTATCACTGGCACTGTTAAGAGGTTTACATGCATTATTTCAGCTAATCCTTCTAGTAGATCATTGAGGGATCCCCCCTGCTTATAGATAAAGAAATGGAGGCCCAAAGAGCTCAGGAATTTTCTCTTTTCATACTTGCAGTTGGAACCATGTCTAAATTTCATGTACTTGTGATCTCTCTGTCTGTCTGTCTGTCTCTGTCTCTCTCTCTCTCTCTCTCTGGATTGAATCCAGGGCACTCTACTACTAAGCCATAGTCTCAGCCCTTTATTCTATTGTTGCTGCTAATATTATTTTGTAGAACTGAGGGTTGAACCCAGCCAGGTCATTTACACTGGGCTACATCCCCAACCTTTTAAATTTTTTTAAAATTTAATTTGATACAAGGTTCTGCTAAATTGCCCAGGCTGGGCTTAAACTCATGATCTTCCTGTCACAGCCTTCCAGAGTGTTGAGATTACTGGCTTCTTTTTTAATATTTTATTTTGAGACAGGGTCTCACTGACTTGCCCCGTCTGGCCTTGACTTTGTGATTTTCCTGCCTCAGTTTCCCAAATAGCTGGAATTACAGGCATGTGCCACTGTACCTGGTTTGTGATTTCTTGAAGGCAAGATCCCTGTTTCTCTCACAGCTCATGCATTCCTCAAAAGTGTGTTAAGTATCTATTATGTACCAGGCCTGTTCTAAAAGCAGGGTCTGGTATGTAATAACTTTTATCCATTTCACATGAAAATGGGTCAGAAAATTAATGAGGCTACGGTTCTGTGTCTGGGTGACTTCAGGGAATGAGACTTAATCTATGCCCTGGACACCATCCCTGGACACCAACCCGAGCCAGCTGTAGGCTGTGCAGGGAACAAATGTCTTCCAAGTGCTTTGCAGCTGTGGGGAGGGAGCTGTTTCAAATGCAGCCTGCTCCTGGTCCCATGTTGACACAAGGCCTTTGTCATCAGTGAGCCCAGCAGCACCTGCAGGGGGCAGGGGCAGGAATGCCCTGCCAGAGCCCTAATTGAATCTAGTTGGCACTACCCAGGAAGTGAGATAATTCCAACTGGCATTTGCCTGGCACTTGAGAGAGGTGCAAAATCCCTGCTAGCAACACAAAGACCAAAGATATCTTTCTCTGCCAAGCGCTGAGGCTGGGGCCCAGGAGTCAGGCAGACACAATGCTGTGTTCGTCTATTCTTTCCACCTTTCCCCTGCCAGGCATGCCGCTTGCTGGGCTGCTTGTTGTCTTTCCCCCTCGGGACTCAGGCTCTACCTATTTTGTTCAGGCCCCTGTTTTTTTTTTTTTTTTTTCCTGAGTCCTAACCTTTCATGATACTGGACTTTGGTAAATAGGCAAAGGAAGATGACAATAGGGTGACCCAAGAGCCCTGTTGAGCCCTTTAAATTCCTGTGTTAAGCAACTCAAAGGTAGACTTTGCTTAAGGAGGAGGCAGAAAGCATAACTCAGGACTAGTCTGTGTATTTTTGTGTAGTTCACTGAAACTGATGCTCCTCATGATCCCTGAAAGGCAAGTTGTATTTTAAAATAATAGCAGTGAATAACAGCACACAGGTTCACATGTGTAATGTGCTCCTCCTGTCATGCACTTCTCTGAGGTCTTCATACTCCTTCTGTGAGACAGATATCAGCCCTCTTTTACAGATGGAGGCAGTAGAAGCTTAGAGAACTTGAAAGGCTCGGGATGACCACAAAACTAGCATGTTGGCTGGGGTGGGCTTTATTCAAGCAGTCTATTGGAGCCTGTTCTCTTCAACTCCACAACAGATCTTTCCCAAAGGATATGAATT